TTCTAAATATAAAAAATTGCAATTCACGTAGTAATTTTTCTACTTCTATACAATTACGGTTGATTTTGTAAACCCTAAACCCTATTTTGTAAATTGTAAACCCAAAACCATAAACCCTAATTTGATACAACTAAGTGATAGAAGACTATATGAACAAAGTTAATATTAACAAACCGTGACTTTACTAATTTGTAAATCATACAAATTGTTTATAATGTGTAAACCCTAAACACTTCTACACTTGGTAAAATGGTTTTACCGACCCTAATTCTTATTTTACAAATTTATATACACAATTTTTTTAAAGAAAAACAAAAATGACGTGCACGATGGGATAGACAACCACAGAAAATCCTGTCAGCCATCGCGCCATGACAGGTTCTTAAAAAAAAATTTGTGGGCCGTTGTGCCATGTAACTTTTTTTTTTTTTGAAAATCTTGATATTATGCTTCTGCAGACTCACATTTGGTTGATTTTTTTAGAAATTGACAATATTTTGAGGATTTAGCCCTAGGATGTAACATTAGTTAATTCCATATTAATTTAGCCATTTTATTTTTTCAAGAGCAACAAATTGTTAGTATTTGTACCACACCAATCCAATTTGAAACAGCTAATCCTATTGAACAGAAAAGTGCAACTATTTTACCCAAAAAATTTTTATATCAAAATTATGGTTTAAATCAAATGCTCGAATGTTCTTAAAAGTTTGAAATGTGCCAAATTTACCTTTTAAAATTGGTATTTATGAATCATTTCCTATATTGTAAAAGGATTTCACAATAGAATTGTTCTCTAGTTCAAGAGCAAGTGCCAACAAAGGATTATGGAAGTCAATTCAGTTATTTACAATTGTTACAACTTACAACTTTTGCCTTGTTTTATTGAGTCACTTTTTCTGATTGCCATTACTAGTCTACACATATATAAGTGACAGTACTAGTCTACACATAAATAAGTGATTTACACTAACTCTTTTAATTTCACTTTCTAATTCATGATTTACTTAGCAATATAGAGGACTTCACTTTGACAACCCGCAGACGGAAGGGTTGAAGTTGATGAAGAAAATCACTATGCAAGAAATCTATGATTTGAAAGTTCTAATTATCTATTTTAATTCCACTAGAATTACTTTTTTTTGGGCGACTTTGCCAAAATCTTAGTAGATGGATAAGACCAATAAGGATTTAAGACTTGTTATATGTTGCAACTTGTTAAATTTTCTTTAATAGTATTCTGCCATTCACATTTATTCTGCCATTCACATTTATAGTGTCCTTTGCTTTTACAAGTTTATATATCTTTTTCACTTAGTAATGAAATTGAGCCTTCTAAACTAGTAGTATCCTTATTATGAAATTGAGAAGTGATATCAATTATTGATAGTAGTTGATAGCTTTATTAAGACAATAACCAAACCAATAGACAATATTACTAAGGGATACTTTTACAAACCTCCGCTGAGGTTTCAAACACTTTCACTAACCTCCCTTGAACTTAAGGTTTTGATAACAGAATCAGTCCAATTAAAAAAAAAGTACTATTAAAAACATATTTTGAGGACTGAGGTGATAATTTTCTTCCATATATGCCCTTTTCTAATTGTTCTCAAGCTGTATTAGTAAAGAATAAAATTTGAAAAGATGTAGCAATTATAACCTGAAGCAACAATCGTCTTTGCACATAGTTAGTGCAAATTGTAATGGCCATATTTTTTTCATTTGCAACTACATGTAAAAGACACATCTAACTCTATAAAGTTGTTAAATTATTAGTATAAGCATCTAAATTGGGTAAAAAATTTATCTTTTTATTGTAGTTGACGAAGCGAAAGTAAAAGTATTGGTGCAGAAAATATACAAGTCTTAGTCAACAAATCAGCAACATAAGGTATGAATTAGTTTTGCCTTGACACAAGATTTAACAAAATAAGCCAGTTTGAAAATCCTTCTATTTCTATTGCTCATAAGATCTATCTGTGTAGATTATATAAGGTTGTCTGTCCTGATTATTGTTAAGTGATATCAATCATAAAAATAGCTCCATCTTAGGATAGCAATTGATGCCATTGTTTGATTGTAATTATGGTTACTAATTTGAGATGAAATAATCGTCATTTTGGTTTAATTAGTTGATTTTATTTATTTCTCCTAACTTTCTTTTTTGTCAAATACCCATTTGTAATAATGCATAATGTTTTAGGGCAAAGTAGTACTTTCACTATATCTTATGTAAGTAATGGGGTCCAAATTTCTGACAAGGGAGGTTAGTATAATTTTTAAAATTTCAGGGAGGTCAGTGAAAGTGTTAGAAACCTCAAGGGAGATTTCTGAAATTACCCCTATTACTAATAAGCAATTATGATGGTTATATTCATAGGAATGCTTAACAGCAATATTAAGAACACTATTCCGCAAAGACAAATATTGTTGGAATGATGAAATCTCCATGAGAAAAACATCAAATTGGTCAACAAGTTGTGTATTTCGTTTCTAAACCGTGTCAAAAAGGGATAAAAAGGAGTTAATTCTATACCATATTGTACATCATTGGGCATTAGTCCATTTGGTCCTTAGTTAATTATACATGTTCGTCTAAGTAGTTCTATTTGATCCTTGGTAGAAAGCAATAATGATTAGTTCTAGCATATACTAACCTTGGTTAATTAACAATAATGATTAGCCAAGATTGAAACATTCCAAATTCACAACCAGTTATTAGTTTAGAAACTTACAAATATCAGACCTTAATTGATTTGTATAGGAATTATTTAAGCTAAACTCGAAAAACATAATTAAGCATTATAAATTTTATTATATTTCATACAATTATTTAAGCACAAGCTTTCCACCATCTTGTGGTGTATTCGTTTGTAGTGAGTAGGAGGTCAATACTCCTTAAAGATGAGAAAAGAAACCATGATACACGTCATTACTCTACTAGGCGGTGATAGACCGGTGATGAGTAAATCGATAATATATATATGTATCATTATTCATTTAAAATCGGTTCAAAGATATTGGGTATTGTTTTTTGAATTAATTTGGAGAGGGAGAGAAGGCCCAATGCAGTTGAGGTTTGATAGTTTGTCCGATTGTTGTACTTTTTGTATTATTTGGTGTATAATTACATTATATTATATATTCAAGATAAAAATAATATATATAAATAAAATATTTAACATATATTCAATACAACATTTTGATATATTTGTACACTAAAACTTTAAATATGTACAATAATTAGATGAAATCACGCAAAATACAATTGTACTAAATCCTTATCGGGATGAAGGATAACAGGCGTACCGGGATACGGGGCAGGAGCGGTCGTCAGGCCGACCGCTCCTGAACGGTTTTCTCACAATAAAAAACATGATGAGACAAATGAGCCAAGTCAGCAAGTCTTCAGCAGGGCAAGGAACGATGCCGTTTCAAATAAAAAAATATTGACTTCCAAACGGGAGCAGACGGAGCAAACGGAAGATTCGTGATTTTGAAATTCAAGTTGAAATTTTGAACTAGCCGCAGAAAACAAAACTTCAGCGGAGAGTCTTGGCGTGCTTGTGAAGGTAGTCTACTCTGACCGACCGCTCACTAAAGGTAGAAAGCTGAAGTTCGGCTGGGCTTCGACACTGAAGGTAGAAAGCTGAAGTTCGGGTGAGATTCGACCTACTGGGTGTTTCTAGGTGAAGTGGGTGAAGTCTACTCTGATGAAGGTAGTAATTGACAGAAAAGTGGGTGGAGAGGCAGGCGGCAAGGGAGAAGAAAACAGAGACGAAATCAGAGTTTGTCCGTAAAACTGAATAGCAGAAGCAGCTATGGTCTTCAACTGGGTATGAGAGTGTTGTATCCATTTTGAATGCAACCAAGGCAGGCGGTAAGGTAGAAGCAAACAGAGAAAATTGAGCATCTCATGAAGCCAGATTTTGTCCTTCAACTTAATAGCAGAAGCAGCTACGCTCTCCGACTTCGGTGAAACGTAAAGCGTATTAGCAGACCAAGGTAACGTGAGTGAACCATGCTAGTAACTGTGGCCAATAATTTGTCACCCAAATGCACATCTGTTAAATGAAAGATGAAATTAGAGTCATTGAAGACATAATATGAAGATGATAGAAAAATAGTGAAATTGTACTATATTTGTGTGTGTATCGTATCGTATCTGTGTGTGTGTGTGAGCATTCAGCTTTTCAGTGATGGACTATATTGGGATAGTAGTTATTGGAAGACCTTTAAAGTAAACTGTCGAACGGAATTAGGGAAATATGAGAGAAACAAAGTCACATTTAACAAGTGAATTAATGTACATCCTGTTGTAAATTAGTTACATGTTATAGCTACCGTATTACAATTGATATGAAGCATTGTGCATGTAGTAGTTGGTTCATGCTCATGGGGCAATATTAGTTTGCCCCTCTCATGACCATGCAGTGTGTATAAAATGGAGGCGTAGAGTTGAATGAGATGAAGCAGAGGAAAAGACATATATGTGAATAATAAATGGGTGAATCTTGTGTTGTAAGTAAATTACATGATGTAAGAAATATATTACAATGAGTAGAAAGTGCTTGTTTGGCCCTTAAAATGTAGAAATAATAGAAAATGCGGAGTTAGCTTATGCGGTTGACAGTAATGAATGACATAAGGTCCAGTGTGCTAAAGAACCTAGAATCAAAATATAATCACCAGCGTGGATGTACATTCAGTTAAAATAGACTTATATCATGTGACCAATACATTACAGTCCGTATAACTTGGTGTACATGGAGTTGTATTTGTACATAGATAATGCCGTTGTCTTAGAGTAAAAGTAAGGTGATGTGAATCATTAATCATATTGATAAGCGTAATAATAGAATTTGGTATACGAGTAATGTGTGATTTATAACAAATTATGAATGGTAATATACATTTATATTGTCATTTATGTACATACTATTCATGAAATGTTGCAAATTAGGGTGTTTGATGCATAATTAGCAGGAGCAGAAGTAATGGATTGCAGTAAATTGGCAGAAAATCGGACCCCTGAGTTAGGAATGGAATTCAACAGTGAAGAGGATGTGTACAAGTTTTACAACAAATATGCCTTTAAAATGGGATTTAGTGTACGCAAAGACTATCTAAATAAAGATAAAGACGGTGTGACCATGTCTAGGAGATATAGTTGCTACAAGGAAGGTGTAAAACGCAAGTACGAAGGTGATGTGATCCCAAAGAGGACACAAGCACCGACGAAAACGGGGTGTGGAGCTAAAATGGTTATCGTGTTACTTAGAGGGACAATGAAGTACCGTGTGCATGACCTTGTTTTCGAACATAACCATGAGTTACACATTACTCAATGTTCGCACATGATGCCATCACAAAAGAAAAGTGAGTGAGGCTCAAGGATTTCAAGCTGAAATAAGCGAGGATGCTGGGCTTTCATTGAAACAGAGCCATGAACTTATGGGAAAGGAGGCATGTGACTTGAAAAATGCGGGATATACTCGGGAAGATCTGAAACGATATTTTCGTACTCGACGGGAAAGGAGTTTGAAATACGGAGAAGCAGGTAGCATGCTGAATTATTTTCAAGAGCAAACACTCGAGAATCCATCTTTTTTTCATGCCGTACAGCTGGATTGTGAAGAGCAGATAACGAATATCTTTTGGGTTGATGCAGGAATGTTAATTGACTATAACTTTTTTGGAGATATAGTCACATTCGACACAACCTACAAAACAAATAAAGAATACCGGCCACTTGGAGTGTTTGTGAGTTTTAACCAACATAGGCAAATTGTGATATTCGGTGCTGCCCTTATGTATGATGAGACTATAGATTCTTTCAAATGGGTGTTTGGTACACTTTTAGAAGCAATGTGCGGAAAGCGTCCAAGTACCATACTAACCGACCAAGATCACGCCATGGCAGCCGCTCTTTCTGTTGTCATACCTGAAACATTTCACGGTCTATGTACGTTTCACATAAGACGTAATTTTATGAAATATCTTGGCAATCACTACAAGGAAAATAGTGACCTTCCATACATGTTTGGTGCCTGCATGTATGAGATTGAAGAAGTGAAACAATTCAACAGGTTGTGGGAGGCGATGGTGAAGAAGCACAATCTTTAAAATAATGAATGGCTTTCCGGGCTGTATCGAATTCGTGATAAATGGGCAAGGTGCATGATGAAAGAAAGATGGACCGCGGGAATGCGAAGCACCCAACTTAGTGACAGTCTAAATGCAGCAATAAAAAATCATTTGAAACTGGATCACGACCTTGTGCAGTTCTTTAGACATTTCAATCGGGTGATTGATGATAAGAGACATAATGAACTCATTGCAGAATATGAAATGAGGCAAAAACTCCCCATGGTAGGGTTGAGGTAAACACCTATACTTGTGCATACAGCAGAGACGTATTCACCAACCATATTGTTGCATTCCAAAATGAATATGGTGAGTCAACAGCTATGGTTATATTGAGACAACAAGATGCAGGGATGTTTGTGCAGTTTGCGGTGATGAGGTATGATGGAGGACCTGAAAGAATAGTGGTATTCAATCGGACTGATCTAAGTGTACGCTGTAGTTGCAAAAAATACGAAAATGAAGAAATTTTATGTGGGCATGCGTTGAAGGTGTTTGATACCGTGGGCATAAAGACAATTCTTCCGGAATACGTTAAGAGGCGATGGACAAAAAGAGCTCGAGCTGGGGACTGTTTTGATCGGCGAGGATGGCAAATTGTTGCTGATCCAAAAGTAATCATTTCAACTCGTTATCGGGAGCTCGCTCCAACCATGATTAAGGTCGCAACTTGAGCAGTAATGTCGGAGGACACCAGCAAAGTAGTAATCACCATCATATCCGATTTGGCAAAGAGAGTTGAGCTCCTCCTCTCAGAAAGCGAAGAGCAACCTTCACAAAATCATAAAAATCTAAATGTGGAGGAACGGGATAAAATTGAAATTGTAAATGAAATGGGAGAGGCAATAGTCGCAAGAGAAATTAAGAAACGAGGCTGTAGGAAGAGAAGTAGAGTGATGCGAAGTTGGGTCGATAAATTTGATAGAGTAAAAAGAAAATCTAGATTGTCAAGAACTACAGAGACTACGGTATGGATCCAATTTTTGTGATGGTAAATATTTATGCGAAAAAATTCTTATTATATAACCGTTAAGTAAAGTTTAGGTACCATTCACTATGAAATAACATTATTGTCGTGTCAAATATACAGGTCTCAGAATCGGAGCCGACATCGATTGGATTTGATGAACACATATTTATGGGATGCCGTTCATCTACTGACTCAGTTTCGGTTAGTATAAAATGATCAAGGCTTTAGCTTTTATTTAGATGTTTCTAACAGCATAATTCGTTATATGGATGTTACATTATGTGATAATTTTGTTACGCCTGTCATCCTCCCTGATATACTTATTTTGTCTATTTTATACAATTATTTGATTCTTCAAAACTCGTAGACGCATTCAAGGAGCCAGTCAGTGAATGGCCCTCAAAACGCTGTTGCTTCCGAAATCGAAGAAAGTGAAATGGTATGCATACATTTAGTAGGAAAAATAAAAACTTTGTTATTCGTATCGTACAACTCCTTTAGGCGTTTTGTCATGGTCGACACCTGGACGCTTGAAAGCATGTATATTATTCAGTTAACGTATGCTTGTTTCTATAACATAATGTTTTGTATTATCCGAAGGTTCACCGTTTGGCTAATCAGGGGCCTCCTGCAATAGTCCCTACAGAATGGATGCATCCCAAATTTTCTATTTTTTCCAAACATAACTCCGTCAGAGATATATTAACGGTTTGATATATCGTTTCTTGTTATAATGTCTACTCCAATTTAACTTTTGAACCGAGAAATATAGGTACTGGTAATGATTTGTTAACAGTTGAATATTTATTTTATATCATGTAGGAGGAGCGTGCGGCAATTTCAACACACTGTGATATTGATGGATATCATGTATTTTCACCATCACCACAAGTGACAAACTTTTATCATTACATCACATCTTTATGTAGTACTGTTAATTGGATATTTGGCGACTTGGATATCGTATATTATTAACCGTATGTACCATTAGGTGTATTAGCTGATTTGCCATCGTTACACATTTCAGAAAAGAAATAACACCCGGGGATTGCGACTAACTGTTGACGTCGCCACACCTCAGAGGCAGGTTGATGAATTATGTGTACCTCTAATTTTTTAATGACACATTAATTGGTTGACCAAACTATTGAGTTCTAATTATCCATTCATCAAGTTGACCTCATTTTTTGGTGTTAGTACTTCTCTGTTGAAGATATTGTTCAGTTTCAATCGCTTCGCTATTGTGAGTTTCTTTTAATAGACAATCTGGAAATGAATTAGTGCATGTCTTGAACGAGATTTGCGGTGTTTTTGGAAGCTCAGTTGTGATTGGACCTCCATGTCGTCCTGGTTGGGAATGCTGAATATCTACGTTACAAGCAGTTAATAAGGTGTTACAAGTTATTCATGTGCTTGTACAGGCACCTTCAATATTTCACTGTGTTCAAATTTAGACAAGTGGATAGAAAGTTTATAATAATGTCTAGTGTTAATAGTCATCAAGTATTCTGTAATGTGTTGTGTAAAGTTATTAAGAATTTATAAAGTTTACTGAAAATTAGAGTAACAATACGATTGAACGTGCTTCGCTATGTTTATGGTATTTTTTCATTGAATACCATAACAAATTACTGTTGTGATATATATACCATTGTCCAGCATTCAGTAACAACAGTAAATAACATCTTTATTGCTCGCTGATGACACTTAGAATGGTTAGATGTATCATATAGCAATCGGCCTTTACAAATTATTATTATTTTGAATAAGTATGCGTTGCTGAATTATTATGTGACATTTAGTCACCAAAAAAATTACTTTTGGCACTACATACGGGTCAGATTTTCAGAACGAACGGTTTGCACCATTTGTAATGATGTACTACAGGCATTTCGATAGATTTTATAAGAATCTTTCAAATTGAATTATGATCAAATAAACTTTCAGGCCAATAATGGGAAGGTAATAGTTTTACAGAAAAAAATGATAGTACAAGGGATAGGCTAATTTCTAGCAGTTAAAACTAAGTTTTATAATACAACAAGTATTCATAACGAAGCGTACAGAATGCGTTACAACCAAACTTTTGTTGTTGTGGGATATAAAACTGCAACCGCGCCCTTTTATAGTCCGCAGGACCCTCCCAATGTCCTAAAATATCAGGGGTCAACGTAATGGGTATGAGAGAATATGGGTATGAGAGGATAAAGTAATGGTTGTGGGTTCACTGGGTGAGTATCACAAGGGTGGCAGTTAATATGTGGCTCCAGAGATTATAAACTAGCAACCATGGAGTCAACCTTGCTGCAAGTCTTTACGTACAAACCGTGAAAGCGGCATTACAAGACATTCGAACAGTGTTACGATGAGTTACTGTAGTGTTACGAATGTGCTTTAGTATTTAATATTTGTTGGTCAACTAGTTACGAATAATGTAATCGTGCCCAGGTTCAATTTGTTTATGTAAGTAATTACTCTTGAAATCTGTAAAATTAGGTTAGAGGATAAGGTTTGGTCCTGCTTGCTTCAACAAACAAAAGGGTATGCGTTCGTGATAAAAGTAAAATTTAGAACCAAAGATTATGTAAAGACTCCTATGTATTAAAAGGGTATGTCTCGTAAAATCTGAACTTAAATTTTGGACTAAGTTACTATGTAATTGTAACATTCACCAATCCTTCAACTTAATTAGTCGTGCCATCGTTTGAGATTAAGTGGTCATGGTAAAAGGTCAACTTACAAACAAATAACATCTATAATTACTTAGTTTGCATTAAAAGATTAGTCATAGAATCCTAGTCGATTTTGTTGTTAAAAATACAGAAAAGGCAGTGTAACTAAGGCCACATATGTTCTGTTCCCAATAACTATGATAATAATGCAAACAAATTTTATAAAACCTATTTGTTAGTCGATATGTTCGGGTCGATGTTGTATAACAATGCACGTGCACTAACTTCATATGTGCTCAATGTAACAAATTTTGAACTACGAAAGCTATTCTTGGGTCCAAACGTGACCTGTATGGACCCCATACTGGGTCCAAGTTTATATGAAGGATGTTGTATGGACTCCGTACTTTATATGTGCTCTGTTGTAACTTTATATTTACTCTTTGTAACAAATATTGAACTACGAAAGCTATTCTTCGGTCCAAACTACGAAAGCTATTCTTCGGTCCCTAATTTATGGGGAGACATCTATGGACCCCATACTGCAATGTGTTCATCATCGAAATTTAACAACAGGTACACTTATGTACATATGATGACTGTCAAATTAAAAGTTCTATTAATCTACAATAAGGTTAATATGGTCCTTGTCAATATACCCCAAAACGTAGTCTACACCAATTCAAAAGCTACATTAGACACATAACAATGTACAAATGGAAGAACATCCAATTTTGTCCAACTACAGTCACATCTGACTAACTGAAGTTCAGGCAATACCAACAGAGTCACTGCGCCCGTTTTGGTACTTGTAGGTTTGCAAAGCTATCCGGAAACTTAGAGTTCTCCGCTGAGGTACACAATCGAGCTGTGTACAGCACTCGATACTTCCCAACATTTTCCTATCCAATTTAAACGAAATAAATATTTTCGAAAGCAAAGGCAACAACTATAAACCACAATTTCAGATGTAAACTAGAAAAAAAAGGTTGTGTCATTGTAATACCTCTGTAAGCCGAACAGCCAACCTTCCGCTCCAATGCTCTAAGAATGTCATAATAAAGACACCACTATCACATCTGTTCATGTTATCTTCTCATTAGTCAATTAGAGTATATGTGTTGTAATAAAATATTTGGATCTCTAACAATAATGGTGTGAGAAGTGAAACTATTTACACTTTATTTGATGAGTGATAAGGTACATCGGCAAGTGCCTCCGAGAAACTGGAGAAGTCAATTTTCTTGCCAAACTTTGTCGCCACGACCAACCCCAGAGCACGTTTCTGTAGCACCAAAGATTATGTAAAACAGATTAGAAGCACTAATGTGTCATCC